GATAGATAGATAGATAGATAGATGGATAGATAGATGGATAGAGGATAGATGGATGGATGGATGGATGGATGGATGGATGGATAGATGGATGGATAGATAGATGGATAGATGGATAGATGGATAGATGGATAGATGGATGGATGGATGGATAGATGGATAGATGGATAGATGGATAGATGGATAGATGGATGGATGGATGGATAGATGGATAGATGGATAGATGGATAGATGGATAGATGGATAGATGGATAGATAGATAGATAGATAGATAGATAGATAGATAGATAGATGGATAGATAGATGGATAGATGGATAGATGGATGGATGGATGGATGGATGGATGGATAGATGGATGGATAGATAGATGGATAGATGGATGGATAGATAGATAGATGGATAGATGGATAGATGGATAGATGGATAGATGGATGGATGGATGGATAGATGGATAGATGGATAGATAGATAGATAGATAGATAGATAGATAGATGGATAGATACTTTATTGATCCAATTTGGGAAATTATTTCGTCACAGAAATGTGTTCAGACATTAAAATACAAATACTCAAAATAATTCAAAAAGTGGAAAAGAGAATTAACAATTACAAATCAAATAAAAAAATGAAAAATATTATATCAAATATAAACAAAACCATATAAAATAAAAAAAATACTACAGGTATTTTAAAGCAGAATATAAAGTCATTTCGATTAGCTGTGATGAACACATTAATGATCATAATCCAGAAATATAATATACATGACTCTGAAATGTTAACGTAACAAGTATTTGTGGTAAATTAGGAGTATATTTTGATGCCAATACTTCCAAGTTAGATTTTAATGGGAGGACTGGCAGGACTTTTTCTTGTACCAGAGTATTTTAACAACTTGGTATTGCTATATTTACCGAGTAAAACTCAGAAATATATCTAAATGCGTCTCTAGTTTCAGTTATTTTTGGACAATAAGATCATATACATAGTTTTCTTTCATATAACCAGTAGGAGGATTTTAATATCACCCGACCCCCAATGCAGCACAAAACAATGTATCAGCCAGAGTGAAAACTGAATACGGGGGATACATAAAGGTTCTTCTTCTTCACTACTATTTATAATTTTAGGAGCAGTGCTTTTCCTGTAGTCCTGATAAACAAACATGTCCTCCTCTCACCTTCCACTCCGGTCCCAGCGGCCCTCGGCCTGTTTTCACCGACTTGAAGATGGCCGGATCGTGTTCTGGGTTGTAATCCTAAAGAAAAGAAAAGAAGAACAATCACAAACACGGAGCAGAAACACAAACATGAAGCAACCTCAGCGAATACAACCAGAGGGTTTTAAAGATGGCGTGAAACATAAAACCTTCTGAGAACATGCAGAGGACTCTCACCTTTGGACTGATGCTACTTTTGTCAGCGATGTCGATGTCGACTATCTGCACTTTATCCCATTTGCTTTTCTCCAGGCCGTGAACCTGCAGCGGATCAGAACCAAGAGGTCAGAGGTTTGGAAGAGGAACGGAAGATATGAAACACACACACTTTGTTGTGATATCAGCACATTAGCTTCATTAGTCGTGTGCGTTTCAACACAAATGCAAAGGTACATATTCTGAACAAAATATTAGTAATAGCAGTAGTAGCTTCTTTGGAAAAAATATGAAAACAACGTGTGACATAATTTACATTTATCTGTAAAGAACATCCATCTATTTGCATCTTGCTAATTATCTATCTACCGTAATTTTCGGACTATAAGCCGCGCCTTTTTTCCCCATCTTTCGACGCTGCGGCTTATTTAACGGTGCGGCTAATCTATGGATTGTTACAGCTAACAGCCACTAGGGGACCTCCTAAATCTATGGATTGTTACAGCTAACGGCCACTAGGGGACCTCCTAAATCTATGGATTTTTACAGCTAACGGCCACTAGGGGACCTCCTAAATCTATGGATTTTACAGGTTACAGTCCACCACCTTTAACTCTATGGGCTCTATGGCCGGTCCGCGCCCCCCACCTTTAAGCGGCGGGCTCCAGCAGGAAAAGCTGGAGGCCGGAAAAGAGGGAGACAGGTAGCGCGCA